TTATTAAATAATTTAGTTTATCACTTATTCAATATCTTTGTTGTTCGTATATTGGTCGCTACATTAGACAGGATGTAATAAGCAGGTCGCGATTTAGAACTGTTTAGTAAAAAATGATATTTATATAAACGTACTAAAGACGTTCTCATAATGTACTATAAATGTACTAAGAACGTCCATTGGATGTAAAAAAGCGATATTTTTTACATCCAAACTACGTCTACCGGATGTTTTCGGGACAATTCTGGTACGTCCTTAGGATATACATGCATATCGAATGGGAATACTTAGGGATATCCCTCGGACGTCCAATTGTTGTGGGTTTCCGTAGCTTCTTGAAATTTCGGGGCTTGGACATAACACTCCTTTTTTATTAATATAATTTCTCATTAACTTTTTTGTATTATATTCTTTGAAACTTTATACCCAGACAGCACATGACATCATGCTAATATTCTATTTTTATACTGAATGTACTGTGATTATACCGAAACTAGAAACGTTAATGTGACGTCTCAGTAAAACATCATTTTTTGTATATTGTCAAGATGTATTAAATATAATAACTAAACTTCAATTTTGATATTAATTGTACTGTTATTATATCGAACATACCCAAAACGTCTCTAAAATATTCTTACGTTATCTCTCATGTATATTTGTAATACATTTCCAGAATAAACAATGTTGAATGCAGAACCAACGCTACCTGCATCAGTGATAATTTAACCTTTATTCTGTTACTTACGACGGCTCTCCTATCGGATTGAAATCTGTGCAGAAACTCGAAATTCTTACTTTCGCGTAATATTATCTCTAAAAAAAATCATCGCATTATTTAGGCCGACATTCATAGTTCTTTTATTTTACGAACATCTTGAGTAATGTCTTAAAATGCTAACACAGTTCTGTGATTGAAAGTCGTGAAGAACCGTACTTAGAGCACACAAAGTCCATTGAACGTCCAAATCTGGTTTTTATTTAGTCCGAACGTCCATGGACTTAGTACAAAGTTTTAAAAACGTACGTTATTCAACGTACAAAGTAGTTCATATTTGGACATTTTAAAAATATTCATCTTATGCAAAAAATTTTCTAAATTTGCTCGCGACGTGTTGCTTTTGCTGACTTGACAAGTGAAAATTTTTTTAAGATCGCACGAGGAGCTTTACTTTTGTTAGTATGTACGGATGTCTTTTGAACGTCTCATGGACGTCTCTAGGACATCTGTACTGTGTTGAAAATTTTTAATGACAAAAAATCTACTCAGATGACGAAGCATGCGATATCCCACGATACCCGCACAAAATACCGCTACCGTACTGTTACTGTACTGCCACGAGGTGGCGGTGTACAGCGTAACTGTACGGTAGCAGCATGAAAAGTGTACATGATATTATAGTACGGCGTATCAATACTGCATACTGTTTAGGTACATCATCTTATGCAAAAAATTTTCTAAATTTGCTCGCGATGTGTTGCTTTCGCTGACTTGACAAATGAAAAATTTTTTAAGATCGCACGAAGAGTTTCACTTTTGTTTGTATGTACGGATGTCTTTTGAACGTCTTATGGACGTCCTTAGAACATCTGTGCTGTGTTAAAAATTTTTAATGACAAAAAAGTCTATACTGCATACTGTTTAGGTATATCATGGTACATAACCGACGTACTATTATCGACAGGAGAGAGACTGTGGAGATCTCTAGTCGAAGACGATATACATGATAACTGATACTGTGAAAGTATAGCGTATGATTTCTTAACTTAAAAATAGTCGTTATAATATTAAGATTAAATATTAGACAGTAACTGACTGGATGTTCAGTTGAACTGCACAAATTTCTGTCAGAACCATATTGAACAGATGTATCATAACTATACATCCATGATTATATGGGTGTTCGTGGATCATTGAAGTGCAGCGGTTTCCATACAATTTCAGAAGTCAAGGATAGTGGCGGTATGCAACCGGATGGGTGACCGTTTCGAAGCACTGTAAAATTTGTTCCCGAATTCAGGGAAAACGTTTTTCTATTATAATTTCATGATGTGTAAAGGTTATGCGTTTCGCGGATTTCTTTCGTGTCCAGATCCATTCTTGAGATGCCAACGTTTCGTGAACCTTGCAGTCCACTTCATCAGGGCGAGGAGCAGCCTGATACTGAGCTGTTCCTCCAGG